GGAACATGAATCAAATATGCACTTTTATTCATTTACAATAAACTCATAAAGTACATCATTCTGATTGAAGCTAAGGGCATACAAAACTGTCTAAAATAGAGGACTGTTTCAATCAAGCCATAGCCCAATTGAGGATATCTACCTCTTCAACCGCAAACTTAGGAAAGCTATTTGAAGGAGTAGTGGTCTGTCCCATACTAGAAGAAACACTAGTAGTTCCAGTTTTATGCATTCCATCCACCATATCGGAGCTTGCTACATGTCCATGGGCTCCTGGACCTTTACTTGGCTTCTTATCCTTCCTTAAAAGCTGCTGGTTTTAGATGAGAGTGCAAAATCCAGCATGTATCTTTGGTGTGTTTTTCTCCGCCACAGTGAGAACACTTAAAATTTTTCTTGTCTCCCCCTTTTCCACTCCTTTGAGTAGCTGAAGCAAGAGCTGAGTGCTCCATCTGTTGTGTGGACGTCTCAACATTCATCTCTTTCCTCCTAATTTCCTCATTTCTGATTAGGTAGAAAACATGTTGTAAGCTAGAGGGTTCATCTCTCCCCAAAATCTGAAATCGAATGCCATCATATGAAAAGTCTAATCCAGCAAGAAATTTAAACACCCTCTCTTCAATTTGTTTTTCATGCATTTCCTTACCTTCAGAATTTTTCCAATCAAAGATGAGATGGTGATCAAGTTCTTCCCAAAGTCCTTCAAGGGTAACAAAATAAGTAACAACCAACAAGTTTCCTTGATTCAAAACTGCAATAGCTTGTGTGAGCCTAAAGACTCTTGCATTATTCTTTTGTTGCCCATAAGTATTAGATAGCTTCTCCCAAATTTTATGAGTTGTAGAATAGTGTTGAACTGTCCTAACAATCTTTGGAGTCATGGAAGACAGCATCCATGTCATAACTAGGGCATTTTTCTCAGTCCAACTCCCATAGGTAGGGTCTTCCATCTTCAGTTCCTTGACCAGTCCATTGATGTATCCTAGCAAACATCTACTTGTAATATGAAGTTTTGCAGAGATAGATCACTATTTAAAGTTATACTTATCCAGTTTCACATTAGTAATCTGTAGACTAGGGAAACTAGGGTTTTCCATGTTCAGAAAAGCCTAACTTGGTATGTGTTCCTTTTAGGTTACTTCACTTGAGTTTGAGGATAACATTTGACCTTCCAAAACTCAATTGTTTTAACTTCACTTCTGTTGTAACTTGCACAGAAACACAAACAGGCACCTTTCAGCTTTGTGTCAACAGACTTTTTTTGCTGAAACCCTAGTCTTCCACTTGTTTGAACTAAAAAAATATATATATATTGAACTGCACCTTCTTGCAATCCACAAACTTGACCTGTCTTCTACAGGTCACTCTAGTAGTCCACAAACTACTCCAGTTTTGTCTTGCTCTAGTAGAGCATACCGGAACCTGTTCTGGGTCTCCCTAGGTCTTCTCCCAAAGAAAAAAGAAAAAAACTAGAGAAAGCTCAGAAAACCACCACCAGCACTAGGGTTTTAAACAACCCAGAAAAGAAAAGAAAGAGGATGAGGAAGAAAGAGAACAGTTGCTGTTTTAAGTTCGAACCAGGAGAAACCTGTATCAAAGCTATGATACCATATTAGTTTTCAGATTAGAGAGGAAGAAGAGTAGAGAAGCAGAAGATTGATAGGAATTGAGCGGCAGCCACTCTCATAGCCCCTAATCTTATCATTTATATTAGGGTTACAAGAAAGAGTACAAAGACAAATCTGCCCCTGATTAGTAGGCAGGAAGAAAGAAAGAAATTACATATTAGAACAGGAGGGGCCCGGGCCATTAAGCTCAAGAGATATATAATATAACATAACATAACAAATAAGGCCCAAGCCCACAAACTAGGTCTCACAACAAAAGAAATAAGGGCAAGGGGCTTTCTAACCATTCACAGTATTAACAGAATGTCCTGTTCATTAGAAAACAATTATTGTTGATGTAAAATTCACTCAATAGGAAGTTGAAACATAGAATATAAAGAGCAAAGTACCACAAAACTGGAATAGTTACTTTATAAATTTTGGTTTCTCACTGGGATTGAATCCTACCTTCACTAAAGTTTGGAAGATGGGTTTACCCCTGATGTGTAGCCCACATGGACCCCCCCACACACACATACACATAGAAAAAAGGAATTTATTAAGCTTATTTTTAATAGCAGTAGCATCAGGAATCTAGGGCCATCAGGGGCGGGAGAGGTTTCTAGAAATGATGAGGATCATTCAATAACAATGTTCCCAGGTCTTATTCGGCATGGTGATTCATTAAAGCAGAGTTGCCAGTGGTAATCCAAGGGGTGAAAAAGGCAGACCGGATGACGATAAGTAAATTAATCATGGTATGTGACTCCAAAGTGATAATTGGGGCAATGCTGAATAAGAAAGCCATGGAGGTAAAGGAAAGAATTGAAGAAGATTATGTGGATGGTCAGTAACATTCAGGCTAAATTTTGTGGGCAGCAAGATCTTCAAATAGAATTGAACAAGATTATGTGGACGGCCAGAAACATTCAGGTTAAATTTCAGTGGGGAACAATTGTTTTGGGCTCAATTGTAGGAACTAAATGGGAAGAGATAGGCCTATGTTCTCTTTAACTGACACGTAATATCTTATATATTTTTTGTTTAGAATTAATAAATATCATGGTTAGTTATCAAAAAAGAAAATAAAATTGGTTTCTCACCGATATTAAAGCAGCCCACATCAACAAGAAGCATGGGCCCAGAAAGGTTGATTTCATCCATCAAGAAGTTTGAAACAACTATAACATGATACTAATGAAATGTAGAACCATAAGAGATAATAGACCCCAAGTATGCACGGCCCTAAAGTTGTATAGAATGGAACCAACAGTGAAAGCAAGAAAAGAAATACCAAAGTTGAAGCAAATGTGCCATCTAAATGTCCCGCGGTAGTTGTCTAGAAAAGCCCATCTTCGCCTATTTCATATAAAGTAAACTCAATAATGGAAAACAGCAGTATAATGCTATGTGTAAGAAGTTTTCTTAACTATGAAAAAAATAAAAAGTAAATCATGCAAAGAAAAGGAACCAACCCAAAGATGAAGAATGGATATCCTTCATAGATACGGTTGCACAAAAGAAAAGATATGTTGAAACTCCACAGGACAAATAAGAAATACTTATATTGTGCAAATATCTGCAGAAACATGTCTATTAAAACAAAATGAGAACTAGAAACATTCAACCACAAGACTCAGTTAAATAAGAGGAAGACAGTAAAGGGTTTTCTTGGTGGCAACAAATGCAAATAAGATATATGATAAATGTAAGGCGCATTGTCATAATAAACAATAGATAAGATGAACCTAATCGCATAACAAATACCAGAAGGAAGTAGCCAAAAATGGGGAAAGCTTATTAGATGGGCCAGCAATATGGATATTTGAATGGTTCCAGAAATTGATTTTGGCCCCTACTCTACAGAACATTGGCAAAATTCTGTTTCAAGTCCATGGAAAATTTTTCAACAAAACCATAAAGTCACATGTGGCTTGAAGACATTATGCACAAGAGATACATCTTGTTAAAGAATATCAAACTATTAAAGGACCTAACCTAATAGCTTAAGCTTTTAGGTTGAACGGTTCTTTGAGATGGTATCAGAGCCACTTTGACCAAGTGGTCTAGAGTTCGATCCTCATTACCCCCACTATAATTAATTAAGTTTCAGCACAAGGTATGGGTGGGCCTGTGCTTGTTCACTCTTCAAGCCCAATGGGCTTTCGTGTAAGGGGGTGTGTTAAAAGAATATCAACCTATTCAAGGACCTCACCTAATAGCTTAAGGTTTTAGGTTGAATGGTTCTTTGAGACATCTATTCTGTTAGATACTTGGTATTCTACAAGGTATACTGCAATGACCAATGAAGGAAGTCAATTTTTACCAATCCCAATTTGGCAAGGAGGGAGGAGAGTGTACAGTGTAACTCCACCTCCAATCTAGGGTTGCAGGGGTTGAATGACCCCTACACAAAGAGTGGACCCAACCCAAGGTAAAATTACTCTGTACAACAGTAATGTGGGAATTGTGTTTGGTTGTTAAGAAAATAGTAGGAAAAGAAAATCTAAAATAAAGTGTCATTCTTCAGTTTGGCTGACAAGGAAACAAAACGAGAAAAGAAAGTTAACACAAAATAGGAAGGTAATTTTCACTTTGACCTCAGTTTTTCTCTCTTAAAAGGTATGAAAGTACAGGAAAACAGTGAAGAATGAGAAAAGACGATTTTAATTTATTTTATTTCCATTTCTTTTCTTTTCTATTCTCTTTTCTTTCAACTCATTTTTGTCACAGCTAACATGGTAAATCATGAATGTATTCTCTATTCAGATTGAGTTAGGTATAAGAAGAGAAACTATATTTTTCAAATGTTAGCGAGAAGAGGTTGGGTAATGCAGGAGCCAAGTTGTAAAATATGGGATGACTTTGATTTATGTTAAGCCCAGCCCAGTCCAGTCAGTCGAAGGCCCACCTATTGAGAAGAGCCAGGACCATCAATGCCTCATATCTCAGCAATTTGAAAGGAGGCAGGAGCTCCAATGTGCCATATAGGAAGATTCCCTATCAGAGGTCATTTTCCCTTTACCTGGAGTTAGTTGCATGATCATGTAATCTCTGAGCCTACTATATAAGGCCAGAGTGGTTCCTTTAGGGCATCATGTAATAAAATTGCCTTCCCTTCTATTCTCTTCAGTTGTTAAGGAGGTTGAGTCTCCCTCGAAGATAATCCTGTCGTGAGCAATTCTCATCAATTTATCAGAAAAGATACGGGATGACTTTGAACTCTTGATACTAGATCTGAGTGATTAAATTTAGTTTTGCCAGATTTGATTAAAGAGAAAAATAGAAGAGAAATAGAAGAGAAGAAGAAGAACAAGAGAAATGAAATTGATATATTGTCAGCCAATGGAAGACAGATAAGATGTCTCGGACTTTGATTGGACAGTTTTAAGTAGGGACCAAGCTAGGGACAAGGTTTTGAGATGGAGGATATTAAAAAGGCTGTGTTTACCATGGAGAGAAAGAGATCTAAAGCTTGCATGGTTTCACAAATAGAAATTTATCAATAACTTTAGGATATAGAGAAATCAGATTTTTCTAGAGGTAGTTAATGTGTTTTTTAATAATGGTTGAATAAATGTGGGTGCTAATGATATCTTTATTGTTGTGATTAAGAAGCTGGATATAAATCACCCAGAGAACATTAGACCTAATACTCCAATGGAATTTTTAGGACATTTTCCAATGAAAGTTTTTAAGACATTCCAATGGAATTTTTAAGAAGCCAGATACCTTTGTTGTTGCTTCAGTTCCCCTCCAATGGAATTTTTAAGACAATTTCCGATAAACTTTCAAACCAGCACACAGTCTCTCTTACAAGGTACACAAACCCTCTACCAGCTTCCATGACTTTTTGCCAGCTTTACCCAGCCAGTAAAAGAAAAACAATATTCAATCTTTAGGGCCATGAACGAGAGCAGAGAGGAGAAAAGAGATGGCAGAAACAAGTGGAAATATGAGAGAGAAAGAGAGAGAGTAAAGGAAAGTTAGAGAAGGAGACAAAGGAATGGATGGGAATGGTAGAGAAGTAAAAAACAGGACTTAGAAGTATAACAGGCGAAGTAAGAAAGAGCAAGGGTGGCAAGAGTACCTCATGGCCAAGTTTCCTGAGCCAGGAAAGACCATGGTGCCAGAATTCTTCTTAACCTCCTTGAAATGCATCTGAGACCTCAGTGAAACTTCAAGCAATGTAAGTTCTTCTCATCTAATCAAAATTTCCACCTCCCTTTCCTCTCGGCTCACGCTTGACAGATTGCTCTCTTCCTCTAATCTATGATCTATCCAGCTTTGCCATCTTCCCTAAAACCTCATTTTTCCTCTCATTCACATGCCAAACACCACTTTACTCCAAACCTTCAAATTCCCCCTTAAAAACTGCAATTTCCTCATCAAAACAAACCCAGAAAAGCTTCAACATGATAGCCATTCCATTTCTCTTCAACAAACTCCAAGAAATTTGGGTGTTCTAGCCACATGTTGTCAAACATATGGTTTCAAGTCTAACAAACTTCCTTAGTAACACTAGTTTATGATCTGAGATTGAAAACATCAAAACACCAATATTTCTTGCTTCAAATCTGAAAAAAAACTCTTCCCATTCCCCATTCACAAGAAACCTGTCTGATCACCATAGAAAAAGGGGCCTTGTCCATTTGACCAAGTAAACTTAGATCCCACTAGACCCAGTTACTCCAACTCAATTCTTCTTATAAAATCCCCAAATCTTCACATTGCATTCATCACCTTCCTATTCCTGCCCCCTTTCATCTCCCCCAACCTCCTTTGACACCATCACTTCCACTGCATAATTTACTTTCTCCAGCACCACTGACAAAGAAAACCTTCCTTTAAAAAAACCTACCTTCCTCACCACCCCTGAATCCCCAATTCTTAACAGCCCTCACTTATTATTTGACAATCAACACCTAGTTTTGTTTCTTGCAGCAACATGACCTCCACCCTATAATATCTGACCAAGTTTCTTACTACCTCCCTTCTTCTACAATCCCTTAAGCTCCTAATGTTCCAAGAACACACCCTCATAGCATTCCACCTTGTAAAACCTCCCTTATTTTTCCTTCTTTTTTTTCTTTTTTTCTTTTGTTCATTCTATTTTTCATGTATATTACATGCTTTTGGAAAAAATACATTCACTTATTTTACATTTTCTTTTGGTATTGACTATTGTAAAATTTTTAACCTGATATTCTAATCAAAATGACAGAAAAGGAAGCAAACAAGCTTTGTACATTTTGTGAGGGGTCCACCTGCAACCAAACAAAGAGAAACACCAATCTCAAACAAGCTTTGTACATCCAGAGTCTCTGAGACCCCTTCTAAAACCCATAACTAGAACCAGAAAAGTGGATACAAGCTTATTTTTAAACCTCAAAAAGGAATACAAGGGAATTATTCTTTCAATGATGAATCCCCCACCCAAACATGCTCCCAAAAGTTAGTTCTTTATATTATAAAATTCTTATCACCTAAGGCAACTAGGCACCCAAGTGTCACCTAGAATCACCTTGACAACTATGCTCTCAAAATTTCTCACCTTCCTTAGCTCCAGCCCCCTTTGCAAAAAAATTATAATATCATCAACAAGCTAGAGATAGGTCACTGTAACACTGTTTCTACCTATTCTCCAACCACTTATTACCTCATTCCTATCAGCTTTTGAGATTAATCTACTAAACGCATCAGCTACAAGGGTGAAAAGGGTGAAAGAGGGTCACCTTGCCTTAGGAATCCTTGACCATTCCACTGACCAACACATAATAGTGACAAGATCTATGATAGTCATTTACACATTTGCATCATCTCTCCCCAAAACCACAATTCTTAAGAACTTCTATCAATAAATTCCCATCCACCAAGTCATAATCCTTCTCAAGATCCAATTTACAAACAAAGCCTTGTCAGCCAACCTCCTCTTATCCTCCACATTCATTGGCTATTAAGATCTAGTCAGTTATTTGTCTTCCTTGGAAAAAAAGCTCCTTAGCTTGACTTATGAGAAAAGGAAGTACTGCTCCAACCCTCAATAAAAGCACCTTAGAGGCCTAAAGTCCTTATGGTGTCTAGCATCTGTCTTCTTAGGAACTAGAGCCATGAATGTGGCATTGATTCCAGGACTAATAGTGATTTTGGTTGGCACTTGGGTTTCAGAAGAGGCTTAAGAGATTTTAAGATCCCTTTGGAGTTAGATCCGTTAAATATTATTGAAGGCATCTTTTTGGATCCTTCCAATTTTGATAGCCGAATTTGGACTCTTGCACCTTCAAGCTCCTTTTCATGTACTTCATTTTTTAAGGTTCTAGCTTATTCTTTAAGTCCTCTCACTCCTTTCCAGCAAAGGAGATTTCGGCAAAACCAATCCCACCTAAAATTGGAGCCTTCAACTGGGAGGTCTTCCATGAAAAAAGTAACACCTGTGACTTCAAGAAAGGAGACCTCAACTTGCTTGGGTGTTCCCTGAATTTTCCCAAATCAGTAAATCAGACATGGGGAAAAACTTTTGGAATGTTCTTGAAATTCAGATGTAATTCCTTTTAGTTTTCATTGCTGTGTTTGGTGAGG